AAAAAAAAAAAGCAGATAGAAGTTATTTAAAAAAGGTTATAAAAATATGAAATTTCTTCGTTATTCTTTTTTTTAATGTTTATTTTTAAATTTTTATAGGCAAAATGTCAAGTAACATTTTTAAAAACCTCTTTGCTTTTAAGAAGCTTTAAAGTTTTTCAGTCTTTATTTATTCGCTTACTGCTAAGTTGTGCGCAAATTCGTCATCTCATCTTCTCTGTTATCTTTCAAGTTCATCTCTTCACTGAGAACAGAATGAAAGAAAATCTTTCTTTTTTCTGGGGTTTTCTGTAGACGAAGAATAAAGTAACGAGGAAATGGTTGAGTAAAGTTGTTGAATCAAATCTTTTGCCGTGTTTACAACTAATTTCTACGAGCTACAGAAACAAGGTGGAATCTTTTCTGTTTCTTGAGAGCACTACAGTTTGTGGAAAGGTGAAGCAACAGAAGAAAGGTCGAGCAACATTTCTGTATTACCACCATTGCCAGAGCAATAATTGATCTGTACAGAAATCAAGAAGAAAACAGAATTTTTTCTTCCTCTTGTTGCTGGGGGTTACCGTGGAGGAACGATAGAGCAACGAGTAAAGTAGTTTTACTGTACCACTTTTGTTTCCCCATTATGCTTTCAAAAAACTTTACACATGATAAATTCAGATTTCAACTAACACTGTCTTTGAAACTGAACATTTGCCAATTATTTATCATAATTCTGCAACCGATTATGCATCAAAAAAATTTAATCTTTTTTTGCGTAACACTTTTTTCTCATTGAATTTATTCTACAATGGTCATTGCAATAAGCCGTTTCTCAAATATCCTTTCTGTGATAACTGTTAAAGATGTTTTGATTAAAAAAAAGAACGAAAAGGCTCAAAAAAGTTATAACGAATGAAGTGTTAAGAGAAGAATAAATAACAAATTATTTTCTCATATTTGATTAATATTAGTGTTCAAAACAAACAAAAAAAAAAGATAAATCTTTTTTATTTATTTATTTGATTCTGTTTTACACTCAAAATAATGAATTATAGAGAGTAGTAAAGGACAATTCGTTTAAGTTTTGAATTTCTTCACTCTTTCTATTTTGTTTTATTTGCTGTTTACTTTTTTTTTTGTTGTTCTTAATAATTCATTCATTGAAACAAAAAAAAAAAATTTCTTTTTGGCAGTTATATCAAAAATTTTTTTTGCTTTTTTTTTTGTTCTTATTCTGTAAAAGTACAACAACAAAAAAAAAAAGCTATGCAAAAAGTGGTGAATGAAAAAAAGGAAAAGTACAGCTTGCAAAAATAAAAGGTATTTTTAAATGTTAGTCGTCATATTAACTGCTAAACACTGTTCGTCTATCGCAATTGTTATTTGCTGTAAATGTCTTCATAAAATTTACAAATATTTTATAAACAAAAGCAAAGAAAAAAAGAAAAGCAACCAGAAATCATATAAAAACAGTTCAACAAAGACTAAATT